CCCACATACCAATGTAGCCATAACGATGTTTCCCTTTCGTACTTCTTCCAACATCACACAACGCACGGATATTCTTCTCCTCAAATCCAACTTCGTTGTTTAATATCACGATCCTGTCTCGCTCAAGGACAAACAAAAGGGACGGAAATCCTGGCTCAGAGCAAACTTCGGGGTAGGAATTATCGTCTGCATTCTGAACGAGCTCCAACACAAAGTGGGTGTCCCTGGAGTAGAGCTCACTGGACAGACGTGCTAAGCCCCGCCCTTCTCTTTCGCGCTGTCGCTGGACAAGTTTGGACTCCTCCTCTCCGAGCTCAAGACCAATTCCAAAGTCATCGCGACGAATTTGATCGATTACTGCTTTGCACTCTTCCTGCTGACTGGCAGGTGAACAGGGAGTGGGAAGTTCTTCTAAAAATTCATCCTGAGTGCCTGACGTTACTGTTAAGATTGTATAACAAAATGCGACAACAATTAGGTTTATGGATCACATCGTCATAACGTTACACCACAAGTAAAAAATGGCCAAGAGGGTTTGGCTACTGGGCCGGAAAGGGGAGTAGAAAGTCGAAAAATAAACTTGCTCGACAGAAATTAGAGATAAAGTAGATGATGAGTCAATCCGTCGAGTTACCCCACGAAGAGCATAGAAATCGTTTAATACATTAGGTAGAGAGGCTAAACGCGTTAGAGCTAAAGAATAAAAACAAAGGACACACAGCCTTACTGAGAAGAGGCTATGGTGGGCCATCCAGAAAAGAATCAGAAGGGAAAAAAAAGCCACAAGCAAGGTAAGAAAAACCGATAACCAGGCAAGAACGAGGAGAAACAAGGCCGAACACAGAAGAGAATGTGGGAGTTCAAAAGATGCTGTAATGAAGTAAGAGTAAGATGAAAGAGAAACCGGAAGGTGGAAAGGAAGCAGGGAACGAATAAAAGCCCGCAAAATACCTTCGTCTTGGCCCATCTCAGCTAAGCTTTCTTCATCTAGGGAGACCGCTATATCGCTCTCTTGTTCATGTTCTATGGAAGTCTGAAAATCAATGAAAAAATAGTCGATTATATAGAATCATTACATAAGGTTATTATTAAGAAAAGACACTCTGAAATGACTTAAGGCAAATATATGTAATAAAGATATCAAAAAGGCGAGACTCCAAGAGCTTTGACCACCTTTATTCACATAGTTCAAGAAAGGCAAAAGGCAATTTCAATCTACAAACCTCTATCTGTTGCGTCGACGAAGCAGGAGCTGCCACAGGTTTGACAACAGCAATTGGTCTCTTTTGTTCGTCATCACGGTACATGCCGGATACCAGGCCTTTGTCTTCCTCTTTTTCACATGAAACTCTGCTAAGAAAGTCATCTCTCCACTCACCTATCCCCAGAGCAAATCCTAGAAGGTGAAGACGGCTACGCTGAGACTGAGTAGAGCAGCTTGTAAGCAACAAGGATGCCGCTTCGGTCGAGCCAACTAACTTCTTGAGAGGCTCAAAGAAAACCTACACAGCAGAAACACAAGGAAAGAATTAACGATAAGAAAAAAAAACCGCGAAATAATTTTCAGTCTAACAGCGGATAAATATTGCGAATAAAAATGCCTAATAAAATGATTAACAAACTGAGAGGATTTATGACAAGCCTTTAACGTAGCCCCACATTTCTGTGTTCGTCTATTTGCTCAGACGAAGGGCTAACGCTCGAAACGTCAGCTTAATATACTCTTTACGGTGGCCAATTTACACTATCAACTCAGTTGATAAAAACAAAAAAGCCTTTACTCGCCAGTTATATTTACACTTGAAAATGTTATCTCATTGGGATTATAAGTAATGCATGCTACAAGCCTGCTGTTCATTGATGCCCCTCTTAGAGATGATCTAAAACAAAATGAGAGGCCTATTCTTGACGTTTCCAGTTCAGTTCAGTTGCTAAAAAATACCCTATTGCTAGCCCAGTGTCTTAAGGCATTAAAATAAGCATCATTTACAAGCAGCGTCTTTTGTTAGTCATTTATTCCCCCTTTAAGCTCACTCCTCTCCCCTCTCCCCCCTTTTTTTTCACAGAAGTGAGAACTATGTCTGCTATGTTTGAAACCCATAAGGACGAAATCTATGGTGATCGCGAAGATTGGGAAAGGAGGAAGAAAACGCGCCTTGGCCGGGACCTTAGCCTGCGTTTATACAACAGTTAGCCAAAGATCTATGAAAGTACTAAGACNAAAAGGATTCCCTCATTTTCCAATAATAACTTCAGGTCACCAAGTTTAGAAACCTCTCCACCAAAAACCTCATCCCAGTGAGTCCAGAGAGAAACATCCTCGAGGAGGGGAGTGCTATTGATGGCTTCTAATGCTTCTTCTTTATTCTTAAAACCCAGAACGCCACCTCTACACGTGCTTACGCTGCTGCTATCTGTACCTCCCGCTCCAGAACCGTGACGCAGAAGAGCAGCTTCGTAAAATATGGAGGGAGTGTTCGCCCCTGCCAAGTTCTTCTTTCGCTCTGCAGCTTTCTTCACCAACTTCGCAGAGGAACCAAATCCGAGATCCGTCACTTTACTTACTTTGTAATATTCGCACAAGTACTCTTCTATGGACTCCTAAACAAAAAGGTAAAAGAAGTGAACTTACTCAACAGGATAAGCTACCGTCCACTTGATAAAACCCTCAACCCCTCTGAGTGATCAGCTGCTAATTAAGTTACTGTTTACGCTAAAATGTGGGCATGTCTTTACTGAACGAATCAAGATTCCCTAAACTGCTGGTTGGTTCTAATGTGATTTTACTTTAAGTGAATTAAGTCAGATTTTTCCATACGAGACACGAACTATTCCTCCGCTTAGTGTGTTTACTTTTGTTCGTGTTATATCATATTCTAAAAAAAAAGCAACAATCGAAGAAATTGTAATTCTTACAGGAGATGGTTCAGTTCCACACTGAGATATAAAATTCAGCACTCTATCAAGCGACACTCGAAGTCCAGGCCCGGTTCTCCCTTTGCCAGACGGAGCAATTCCACCAACCTCAGCTATAGCTTCAAGCAGCGCTTTGTGTTTCGTCAAGAACTTCAGAAAGGAGCCATAACCGAACGCTTCAAAACCGTTAAATCCTGAATATCTGCTCATGACACTTTCCTCAATTCTGGCTAGCGTCGCTAGGTCAGTGTGCTCCGCTCTATTTAGCCACTCTTTTACTTCTTCAACGATAATTCCTATCACAAATATAGAAAACGATAAATAACTGGAAAATGAGTAACGAAATATTTAACACCGCAAAACGTTTTCCGAGTTTTGCTATTTTATCCATAATTGCTCTTTAGTGCAAAAGGTTGCTTTTATGATCTATAAGTGTTTCATATGATAAGGTGAATCATACGCGCGTTTGATTGGTTCTTACTTGTGACCTATTAGAGGAGAGACGCAAGATGATGTCACCATTGACAGTATTTTACATTGTTATCATTTCCTCATCTCAAGGGGACCTATTACTACGCAAACGCACGGCAACATGGAATCTATTAGTTGAATATTTATCACCTAGTTAACCGAAATTTGTTCACTTTACGTCTTACGACTCTATGTCTCAAAATATTTGGTACTTTTATACCGGCGACTAATCTATCTGATGGGATCATTTTAAAATTCAGTACAGAAGTAATAACCATCACCCTTCGAAAAACAACTCAAATCAAAACAAAGACGAACAACAAGGATACGAAAATCAAAACGGATTACATGTATGACCGAAAGAAATTAGGCTAAACTAAGCAACAAGTACAAATCGTAATCTGGTTTCTTCAATATCGTGATAAATTCCTTGTATAGCGAGGAAGTACTGCATGCACCTAGCTCAGAACTAGGTGGGTTCAGAATTTTTTTTCCCAAATTAAACCAAACCAAAAAACATCAAACCTTCGCTTGGTGGATCTGCCCCTGTGTCTGTCTCTGTGTGACTTGTGTGACTCTTGGCTGCCTCGAGCTCTATCTTTACTCTTTCATCAACCAGGTATTCCAGAGCGTCTCCCAACAGACGCTTACAACTCATATGGAGTGCTAGCTGAAATAAATTTCTCCCGTGCGAGTCTTCAATAATTGTGGTTACGAACTGAGTGATCTTTTTTGCACGACTGCCCTCAAACATCTCCGAGCAGCAATCGAACACTGCCCTCAAGGCGTCTGCCGGGGATGTGTCGAGAAAT